AATTGATCTTTTGCTAGTCAGAGCCAACTGTGGGATTGTGAGTCACATGTGTATCTTGTGGAGGAATTAATAGTATCACTGTGTACACAAGAGATTTTTTTGGTTTATTATGAGTTTGTTAGCTTATCTGTTGGACTGAAAACCAACTGTGGAGGATTACAATCACACATCACCATATAAAAACATGGCAAATTAGCCAAATCAAACAACTGCCATGCAGGTTTTTCTGGAGCACTAGGGATACAGTCAATATTGGGGTAATATGGACGTTAATAAACAGGATATATAGCCTTCCTGGAGTGCATTGCCATCTCCAGTGGTGACTGTCAGGAGGAAATGGTTGAAAGTGGTTCTGTGTTGATTTCTGCCAGATAAATGCAGTAATGTGCATTCATGCCTTTTCATCACCATGAACAAATGAATGTTCTGATGCATTGGAAGATGTTTTATGGTTCAGCACCCTTCACCTGACCTCTAATTATTGACAAGTTGAACTGGATGATGAAAGCAAAGCTAGAACTGCTTTCAGTACATGGGATTGTTTGTTTGAGTCCTGAGTCATGCTCTTTGGCCTGTTTAATACTCACACTAATTCTGCAAGGTTAATGGAGCTTATGCTTATATGGCTGCAAAGCAAATGATGCATGGTATATGTGTATTATGTTACGATATTTGACCAAACATTTAAATCTGCTGTTATGAATATGTAAATGACGTTACAGCAGATAAAAACTATAATATTAAAAGTTGAAACTGGTTCCATACCATGACAAGATGAGAAGTTCAAAGTTTCCTCAGACTCACATTGTATTATGAATTTTTTATACCAATGTTGCCAATGCCCATTCTAACTAAATCTGATACACAGTTCAAGTGGACCAAGGGGTGTAAGCGCATATTCTTCCTCTTTGAGTGTGCTTTAGTGAAAGTAACCATCCTGGTGTATATTATGCACAATTGTGAATTGCTTTTAGATAATGATTTCAGTGATTGAGGAGTCTGAGTGCTCTGCCTTGAATTAACTTTCAACCTAGCTAAGATGGTTGTTCAGTTGTGCCACCAATGACTGAAAGAACTTAGTGACTCTTGCTTTCCAAACCTCTGTATGATGATATATGATGCCATGTATGCACTACATTATATAATCATCACTGCATAACAGCTAGGACAGTCATATAAGCAAATGATTGTTAACTGAAAGGACCTAGCAGCCTTTGCTTGCTGAACCCACAGGTGGTGATGTAAGATACTATGTATGCCTTACATTTCCCAATCACCACTTGTTTAACTGCTAAGACAGTTCTTTAGTATAGAAACCAACAACTGAAAAGGGGTTGTAACCCTTTCTTTCCAATCAAAAGTTACGTTTCCTAATGACTGTATTGATTGAATATTAATTGTGGCATAAGGAGGTTTTGATGAATAGTCTAGTCCAGCTAAATCCACCAGGAATTATTCATTTTGGAAAGCTGGTAAAATTCTGTTGAGTTTTACCACTCACAAATGACAGTATGTTACCAGGCCTCGATGACAAACAGGTAGTTGGTGAAATACAGCACGTGTAGGTTAGAACTATAATGGAACATATGCCTAAGGGGATCTATCGAAAGCTACTAGTATATGTGGTGATGTGTGAAAGGTATCAACTTATGTGTTGTAAATATACATTCGTGATTATATGTGTATGAAGTTTTGCATACAGATATGAAGCTTTACACAAAGTCATTCATAAGTATTGTCTAACACAAAATTATCTACCATTGAGAATTCAACATTTGAGCAGTTTTCAATCTACACCAGTCACTAGTTTGGACTCTCTTGCCTCCCTGTTCCCAAGCTCAGTTGGTTTTGATAACCAAATGGAAGCAGAAGGAAATTTGGGTGGGGTTACACAGTGAGTACAATTGAGGTGTAAGTCATGCTCGAGATCCAAAGATGTCTGTGTCGACTGTGGTCCATAGACCATAGAGATAGTAAAACTACTGCATCACTCATCTTGGCAAGACGTTCCTGTAACTTTGACACCAGAATAATTTCATCAAATGGAAAGGTCACTTCACAGATCATATGCCTTTGCTCATTACCCCAGGAACAACCACCTAACTGACAGTCACCATTGTGGTACTATTGAACAAAGCACCACCAGCTACAATGCCAACCCATACCATTTACAAACAAACGTCAATATCTGCATTTTTATGTGGGGTCAGCCTAGAAGTAAATGTGTAATAGCAGACAATAATATGTGTCTTCAGTTCCCTTAGTTAATGTGTAAACATTTCTTTAAATTGTTGAATTTTTCACCATTCTCAGGTTAGATTAAATAAGACAATCAAGTAATTAAGTTACTCAACTTTCCCGTTTGTTAGAGTATATATATATATATTAACTGTGCTCATAATTGGCTGTAATTCGTGTTGGATTGTGAAAAAGACAACTTGTAACATAGTTAGATAAATACTTGTTTTATTGTTGGTGGATCAGATAGTAGCTTGGAGTGACCACACCCTCTGCACATGGAACGATACACAACAAACACACGGACCACTTGCTGTGGGGCCAGGACAAATTTGGCTGTGTGTATTTTTGTTCTTCGTATTGTTGCAAGCTATATTTTCGATGTTTTATTTTAATGTTTGTTTACTAGAGGAAGGTAGTCATTACGTCACAACATAAACAAATTTGTAGCATGTAGAAACAAGGGTACAATTTCGGATAATGTGCTAGCACTCCCTATCCAGGGATGGTACGGACGCCCTTATTAAAGCAATACAAAAGCCACCTGGCTTTGCTTCTCTACACGCCATCAGAAGTTAGATATTGATAGTGTTGATTTATCGTCTTTTTTATATTTAACAATGAGAATAGTAGGACTAGGGGACACAAATATAAGTTTTGGCAAGGTAGGAGTCATCTTCACCTAAGACAGTTTTATATTTCTAACAGGGTGGTTGGCCTTTGGAATGGGTTGGCTTCATATGTTGTAGAGGCAGTAAATTTAAGTGAGTTTAAGAAAAGGCTCGATAAGTATATGAATGAAAAGGGCTGGGTTGAAAAATTTCTATTTTATTTTTAATCATTTTAATTTAATTTTGAGGATGGAACAGCCAAGATGAACCAATAGGTCCCATGCTGTCCCAAAATATTATGTTATGTTATAATCGCTCCGGTGTATATGCCGCTTTTCAGCTATTTAAGGCGTCACAAAGTCGAAAACCGACGAACAGCGAAAACCGAGATTTCTCACTTTAGTTCATCATCATCTTTGTTCAACAGGCCTAGCGCCAATCTAGTTGTAGCAGTAACTACAATTCTATCATAATTTGATGGAGCAAAACAGTCCTCATGATCTTTGACTACCTATTTTATTATTATTCTATGCACAATTTATAAAGCTTTAGAATATACTGTATAACCATCTTATAAAAACTAAACAAAGACGTAAAGGAAAATAATTTATCAATAAATAATAAAGATATGTAGGACTGGCTACTGAACTTGAAAAAATGGAACCAAACAAGATAGGGATAGAAGTGGATAATAGGAATATCCACTTCCATCCCTATCTTCTTTGGTTCCTTTTTATCAAGTTTGGTAGTCAAACCAACATAATTTTTGTATTTAGTGATAATTTTCCCCTCATACTTGTATATATCACTTGATGCATAATCAATGATGGAGTAAGTTCAGTGTTGAGTAGAATAGAGTTGTTTGTTTGTTTAACATAATATTTATTTAACCTGTTCACTTTCACACAAAACGAACACTCATATACCTTTCATCACAAGAAGTCTGGTAATTTTTCTGGTCGGATTTTGCTGTGACTGATGATTATTCTGTTTGATACTTATCGGAAAATTGTTTTTTTACTGAAATTACCACAAGAGGAAGGCTATAAAGACATGACCCTATGAAAATTTACCCTAAGGCCCGAACAAGAACAAGCACATAGAGTCAGCCTTAATTAATTAATATACTTCTTCCATATGGGTCATTCTGCAGTACTTCAATTGAATACTGTTACGACAGCGGAAGTCACGTGACGCTGATGAGTTTCTCGAATGATCAGGAAAGTCCGAGTGTGATCGAGATGCCCTCTTCGTTAGTATATAAGCCTGGCAGAGAAAGCCAGCGGGGATAAATTAAGAAAGCAGTAGTTACTTTGAATTACGTGTAATTTATGATTCTGTTAGTTTCGAGCTAGTGAGTCGTAAAGTGTGTGTTTTGCACTCGTCGAGATTGTGAATTGCTGTGATTTATAGCGTGTATTATAAAAGTTGTTAAGTTTAAAGTGACGAGAAACGTACTGATTGTGGAACTTCTGTGTACTAAAAGTTTGTATTGAGGAAGAATAAACTGGTTTAATCAAGAAATGACTTGTATTGCTGAAGATCCTTGGAAAGAATTTCTATCGGAAACAAACAAACAAGCAGATACGTAACAATGCGTTAAATTTAGTTTCAAATTTTAACCGAGGTCCGGACTTTGGTGACCACTTAGCTAACTACGGACATGTATAAGGGTGATATCTGGGATATAAATTTTGGCAGTGTAACAGTTATTTCCAGTTAAGACTAGTTACATTTTTCTATCAGCGTGATTAGTCTTTGGAATGTGTTGTCTTCAGATGTGGTGTATGCAGTCAATTTAGGGAAGTTTAAGGAAAAGTTTGATAAATACTTGAATGACAATGACTAGCTTTGAGAGATTTATTTTCAATTAAATGTGGGTTTAAATAGATGGAAACAACTAGACGGATTTTGATCCATTTTGACTTTAAATTATATGTAATACTTCATGCAACTATTTGTTTTATTCTTCCTTTCAACTTTTATTATTATTTAAACTCACTTGATTTTTAAAGATGAAAATTACGACTTACATATATGTATATGTGTGGGTACGCGTTTATTATTATTATTAAATTATTTAGAATCTAATCACTTTATTGCTCAAAATTCGTAGTCTATTGAAATATCTCCACTAGACGTCCTGAACGTTGTTCTATCGGGTTTATATATTGTTTGGTTATAAAACCTGAAATTTAGAACGTTAAGTTATTTTCTCGTAAGCCTAAGTTATAATTAATGATTTATAAAAATGGATATTGCAGATAACAAACAGCTTGTAAAACAAGGTGCTGAAGCTAAAATTTTCAAAGGTTCTTTTCTCAGAAAACCGGCTATGTTTAAAGAGAGGTTTAGGAAAACTTACCGTCACCCAATCTTAGATGAAAGTATCACAAAAGAAAGGATGAAAGCAGAAGCACGTTCGCTTGTTAGATGTCGTATGCTAGGTAAGTAAATTTTACTCAGTTTGACTTTTAGTAAGATACAGAATTAATGTTTGGTTTAGGAGTAAATTCCTTTTATTGTAATTTTTGGGTTTGACTTTCCTTCTTACTTTCACCTATACTGGCGTATACAAACGAAAAAACAACAAAAAACATTCAAATTCACTTGAAACCAAACCCATTATTTATAATTTAGTACTGGTAAAATGAAACTCAGAACAGTTGGAATTTTGAAAATATATATGTTTTTACAACCAAGGATACAGCATTTTCAGAATCAGGGTTTCGTAGGTTTTTGTCATGTATTTAAAGATAAAAATGTGTAGAAATTAAGCAGGTAATCATAGGGGTTCTGTCACGTGGTAGTTCATTTTCTGCAGTTAAAACAATAGATCCATTGGAAACATAATATTTTACTGGTTTTGTGGTAACCATTGAATTTAAAACAATATCAAAATCAGACACAGACAAACCACTTATTTTATATATTGAAGGAAGTAGAATAGCAATAAATGGCCTCTACAGGTAAACCAATGTGGACTTTTATGTAAAGAAGTCAAATAAACATGTACTGCTTGCATGATATATTTTTAGTTTCCATGGTAACCACAAGTGAAAATCTTAGATTTGATATGGAGTGTGACACAAAATTCATCAAATGTGTAACTAACCACTTTTAGAAGTTATTACTAATACTTTAATCATATGGAGATTTTTCTTTCTTATTTTTGATTATGACATACATTGTATAAATAACCTTTATATTTTCAAAATTTCAATAAAAAATTATGTTAATGAAGTAGCCTGATTGCTCAGTCATATAGTTTCTACATAACATTTGTCTATAGACTATAAATGAGGTGAGTCATAAATCATGTTAAATATTCCATTAAATCCATTACATAATACATCCATAATTCATATATCCACACGTACTGAATAAAAGCACTACTGTCCACAAGTTTCAAGATCTAAGTCTAAGAATACAGTGTAAAGTTTCATTCAAAATGTACACAATCATACAGTTAATTCATCATTTTAGTTAGATTTAATGATCAAATGATATCCCAAAAAAAGAATATCAACAGTGATTTCAGGTGGTGTCGTAAAGCATATGTTGTCATTCTTAGCTGTCCTATTTTTGGCTAAATTTACTTCCAACTATGACTGAATAGTCACACAACACAGATTTCAGCTTGTTTTTTTTTTTCAAATTGGTTGTTTGACAATGGGCAGATGTACTGTAAGTATGTCAGTTGTACTATTGGTAAAAGTTACTGGTATATTCCTCTTAAGTATTTGTAATGGATGTGTATTTGACACTTCAGGGCATTAATTTTAACAGTTTCGATTTTTAACATTGCAAGCTCAGCTTTCACTTGTTCTTAAGGAATAGAGGAAACCAGAATCTAAAAGTGTCTTGAGTAATACCTCTATATAGGCATGGTTATTTTCTTCTCTTTTAGCCACTTTCAGGATGATTCCTTTGATTTTCTGAGTATGACATTCATGAAGATTATTTACCTATTTCTTTTAACTACTATCTTTTTCTAGTTTGAGATACAGAACTGGCAATGCAATGCTCCTTCTTACATTCTGGGTGTATCAAGAGCCACAGAGTAGATTAGGTGGTATGAAACATAGCACAGGATTCAACTGTTAGTACTGAAACATTGGGAACATGTTCCTTATATGCATATGCCATCCAGTCTCAAGGTGTAAAACACTAAAAACCAGGTTTTGATACCTTGCTGGGCACAATACAGATAGCCCATTGTGTTGCTGTTGTACTTTACAATGAACAAACAAAATATATGTAAATGCCTAGCTAAGATGCCTGCCACTACTGATGTTGTCAGGTGCACTTGATCTACTTTTTTTTCATTTATCGCTTCAGTTTCAGAGTTTGCTGCCTAGATGCTGATCAGTCATCTGTTAGGTGATGACTCCTATGATGGTTGTTATAAAATTTACCAGTAGATTGTGACATTTAGCATTGTATTCAACCAACAACTCTTGATTTTACCAGATGACAACAGACACCATCTTTTGGAAGGTTTACAGATTTTAACACTGCAGTTACACCCCCCTATAGTTGGGGAGATGGATCTTCTGCATAAACCAACAGTTGTAGAAAAGACTCTTTCAAGTGGCTGGTTAAAGGCGAGGTTGTTTTTACATGTAGTAGATATCTCATCCAGGTTCCAGTTACAAATTTTCCAGTTATTCCTAATGCATGAATGCTTACTCTATACTTGTCACTTTTCATAGCATCATAAACTACTGAATGTAGTGGATTTGTGGGAAGTTGAACCTTTTCAAATAATCCCCAAATGAGATCTGCATATTAACTGACTAATGTGGCATCAGTAAATTATGTCTGAAACTGGTTTCCAACAAAGGAATGAAAGAGCTTGGAACTGGAATTCCCAGTAGGGCTCTCAGATTCAGGTGGTTGTACATGCCCTGTTGTGAGATGGTTGCACTGTGAAATAATCTTCCCTAAAGCTTTTATGAATGCATGTGTCCCACTTTCTCACTTGTTTATAAATAAGTTGGATGCCATGCCATTGCTTGGTTTTTCAGTTGCAAAATACTGGATTATGTTTCACAATACTCAGTGATTTTGTCTTGTAGCTGTTCAGAACTCCAACCTTAATCTTAGTGATATTTAATCAGTGCTTGAGTTGGTAACAACTTGTCATTATTGGACAGAATATTTGCATCTGTTTCTGAATCACTAGTCTTGTTTAAATCACTGAGAGTTTCTTGGATAATTTGCATGTATTCCTTGTCCTAATCCCCAAGCTACTTCCTCATTTCAGCTAGAAATGTTGTATTTTCTTATGCACTTTAAATTTCTGTAATATGCTAGCTGACTTTGGTTGTACTGTAAAACTTCAGAATCATGTCTGTCATGCCATTCAGTTGACTTTTTATACCATACTTAGAGAGGGTTTCATCTCTTTCTGAACTTTATTTTGGGTTAATGTAGCTGGCATTGGCCCAACTATGATTTTGCTTGTATAAATATTGTATACTTGAACAATAGCATCATTACATTTCATCTCTGAAATGCATAAATCATGAGCATAATAAGAAGTTTTATGTAGCCAGTGTTTGTGCTTTATTCATTAGTGTCTGAAGAATTGAATTTAAGTACTTAGTTGGAAAAAATTGATTGAAACCTGCAATAAACGACTCAGATTTACAGTAAAATATCATACTTACATCAACAGAGGTTAGAACCAGAAATAATTAATGCTGATGCATGAGATGCTTTATCCCACTACTGAGTAGTTCAGTGCTGGGGTTCCTGATGGTATTCAATTTACCAATCACATTACCTGTAGGAGATAAATACAAACCTATTTATGAGTATCATTTAAAGGGAACTTATTTGTAATTTTGTTTGTTTATTTTTGCTTATTTTATTTGTTGTAAGAATTGCATCTCGATATGGAACGTTTTTGAAAAAATATTTTTTTTTCTATTTTTTTTATAATTTATACTGTGATAGTGTATTATAGTGTAATTAAGTTTTGAGCACAAGAAGTATGGACACATTTAACAACAGGTGGTATATTTTATTTGATAGTGGATAGTGGGAGAATGAGTTAATTATTAGTTAATAAAAACAGTTTGTTGGGTAGGCGGAATCTTTCACAAACATGGGTTTCGTGGGGGAAAAATGATAATAAAAGGGGTCCTTGGTGGAGCAAAGGTTGTAAACCACTGCTATATACAGTACCTTGTTCATCACGTGGATGCACATGCTGTATAGATAAATGTTTTCCTTCAAATAGCATACAACATGACTGTTATTTATTGAATGCAATATAGATTTTGTATGGAGCTGGGTGGTTAATCAGTTTAATTGACTGCCTATGAGCATTGATAACATTGATCAATGTCATAAAATAATCAACTAATCAAAATTAGTATTTTTTATTTTTTCAACTATCCAATTAATCAAAATATTGTCATTATGATTTCTCATTATTTTTGATTAATTGAAGGTAGTTCAGCTTAATCAGTTAGTATCACAACTCACAAAAATAATCAAGTAATCAAAGTTAATGTTTACTATTTTTAGTCATTCTAACTATCCAAATTGTGTAATCAATTAATTGACAGTAATTGATTAATAAGTCTCTTGATCAATTCATTTATCAAATCCCATTAATCATCAAGCTATGTTGGTGTGAGAGCATATCATTGAACAATAATAACATAAAGGACTCATAATAATCAGTTAGTGAATGCAAGACATGAACTTAGGCACATAAATAACATTAAATATATATAGTGCTTAGTCAGCTTCAAAATATTTGGATGCACAGTATTAGTCAGGATTTGAAAACTACACATCCAGATTTTTTTAAAGAAGTTAAGCAAGAGAAATAACAGTGTCAAGAATTTTGTACTTGCAGTCCTTTATTTCAGTTGCACATCATTATATCCTTCTGTTGTGCTGCAATAAAACAACAACATTGAGTGCATCATTAAAGTGGAAATTTTGAATATTGACATTTCAATACCTTATTCTAATCAACTGTACAATAGATGATGTCAAAATATTCTGATGACTCAAATCTTTATTGAATATTATCTTATCCCCAGATGATATCTCACCTTCACATACAGAGTAGCTTGATCCCACGTGCATCTGTCTATGAGACTCATGCCACTAGTCTTAAGCTAACTTCTAATGTGAACTATGCTAGTACATAATGGCATCATCATGTAACAATAGCCCTGCACTATTAGGAATGCAACATAACCTCCTGGTGCAATAATTCTCCCTAAGCATTTGCACACTAAGTAACTTCACTCTTTTCATAGACATTGTCTTGAATGGATGTGTTGTAAAATTATTTGTGATATTTTAAGAAACTTGAATTTAATTCAAGTTTATGTTTCTTTCTTTACTAAAGAACAAGAAAAAAACAATTTTTTGTCCTACTTATTCATTATGAATTCTCAGGTGATGGTAACTTGTA